ACAGGCAGACTGACGAAATACACTGCTGAGGGGAGCAGCAGACACAGCAGGAGAGGTCTGTTGCGCCATGTGGGACCCTTGCCCAGCGCCGGGAATTGAACCGGCACTGCAGAGGCAGTGGGCAGTTTCGCAGCCCAGTGCTCAACTGCTGCGCCACCAGGGGAGGCCCTGTATCAGGGTTTTTTAACTCAAGATGTCTGGCAAAGGGAAAATCAAAGGTCAAAGAAAGTAAATTCTTTAAAATATATTTTAAAATATATTTTTATAAAAATAACAATAGATACAGGAAAATGATTTCTTTTGCAGTCAAGTCCACGCTTCCTTCTAGAAACCACCCCAGACTCTGAGAATCTTAGAGAATTCTTCCAGGATATTTCCAATATCCCACTTATAGCTTCTGCTTATTTGTTTTCCCTCCCTTCATTTTGTTTCTTCCCTAGATAAAGACACAATTTATTAGACCTTTAATAGATGATTCAATTGACATGCCTTATCCTATTGTCCCATTTTATCTTTAGAATTATTCCATGGGGCCTCCCTGGTGGTCTAGAGGTTAAGTCTCAGCACTATCATGGTGATGACATGAGTTCCATCCCTGGCCAGGAAGCTAACCCACCTGGCACAGCAGACCTCTCCTATCTCACCCGCTGCTCCCCCCAACAGTGTATTTCAGTAGATCTGCCTGTTCTGTTCCCTACTGTGTCTCTGGTGAAATACACATAATTTCAAATTTACCCTCTTAGCCATTTTTAAGTGTATAGTTTAGTGATATTAAGCATTTCATGCTGTGTTACCATAGCTACCGTCTATCTGCAGAATGCTTTTGTATGGTAGGACTGAAACTCTATATGCTTTAAACATTGATCCTCCCACCCTCTGCGACCACCCCATGCCACATAAACTTTTCCAAATACGATTAAAATTTGGAGAGTTCTGTCAAGTTTCATCAATTGGAGGTAAGGTTTAGAGGAATTTCCCAGACCAGCTTCTGGCTGCGTACAATTGAATCCCGGCTTCTCCTCCAATACATACAGGCTATACTGCAGGGAACATTTCTACTGAGAGTTGACCTCTGATCCTGCATGGGGTTATGATGCTGCATGAATTTCCCTAAGGACAACAGGAGTATGCAGGCAAGATATTCCTAAAACACACTCACCAGCAGTTACTGCGCATGTGAGTGACTTCAAAGCCTGTGTTTATAATCACTTACCTAAACTAATATGTATCTGCAGCATGTCTTTTTAACTGGATCTTTTGGATTTCCCACTTTTATTGAAAAATAGCTCTCATACATCACTGTCTATATTTCAGGAATGCAGTGTGATAGATTCATTAGCATATACTGTGAAATGATAGTCACATGAAGTTCAGCTAACATCCATCATCTCTTGTAGATCGAATTAAAAAGAACAGAAAGAAGAAAAAAGTAATTCTCCTTGTGGTGAGAATTTACTTAGGATTTACTACCTTAACATTTCTATGTCTCCTACATCAGTGTTAGCTATAGCCATCACTGTTGTATATTATACCCCTGGACATAGTTATCTTATGATTGGATTTTGTATCTTTTGACCATATTCCTCCAGTCCGTCCTTACCCCACCCTCCTTCCATGTTAACCACAAGTCTTCCCCCTTTTCTGTGAATTTGTTTGATTAGGTCTGCATATAAGTGAGATCACACAGCATATTCTGGACGTTTATAGGATTTGCTTATTCGCCATGGCTGAATGTTATTCAGTTGCATAAGTATCTCACAAGTTCTTTCTTTCCTTCCTTCCTTCATATACCTATATCTCTATATATGAATATATATATATATATATATAATACATTCTTCTTCCTTTTTGTACAATGAATGCTTTCTCCTCAGGTGTAGTCCCCATAGAATTCCCACCACCAATTCACCTAGGATATATCACCACAGTCCCTTGCTCTTCCCAATCTGTTTTGATCCCTGTCCCTCTCCTCCCCTGCAGAATGTTTCTGATTTATAGTTGCATGTTAATAGTTTTTAAATTTAGTATAATTATTTTTTTCCTGATCCCTTATTTGTTTCCCCTACATTCCTCCTATAAATGAAATCATCTGATTTTTTTCTTTTTCTTGCTGGCTTATTTCATATATATATATATATATATATATATATATATATATATATATATATATACACACACACACCACATCTTCTTGATCCAGTCATCTATTTTTGGGCATTTGGGTTGTTTCCATAGTTTGCCTATTATAAATAGTGCTGTAATAAACATAGGGGTGCAGGTGCTCTTTTGAATTAAAGTTTTTGTGTTCCTTGGGTAAATTCCTAGGAGTAGAATTGCTGGCTCATATGGAAGCTCCTTTTTCAGTAGCTTGCAGAACCTCCACACAGCTTTCCATCATGCTTGGACCAGTTTGCATTCCCCCTGGCAGTGTAGGGGAGACTCCTTTTTCTCCAACATTTGTTGTTGTCTGTTTTTTTTTTTTTTTTTAAATACATGCCATTCTCAGTGGTATAAGGTGGTATCTTATTGTGGTTTTGATTTGCATTTCCCTAATTATTGAACATCTTTTATTATCCCTTTTGGCCCTTTGCATTTCCTCTTTGGAGAAGTGTCTTTTTGCTCTTCTGCCCATTTTTTGACTGGATTGTTTGCTTTGTTTTTGTTGAATCGTGTCAGCTCTTTGTAGATCTTTGTGATCAGTCTCTTATAAAATATATAGAAGAAAATATAGGCAAAACATTACATAGCATAAAACTCAGTAACATATTTAAATACGCATCCCCCAAAGCAAAGAAAGTGAAGGAAAAGATGAACAGCTGGGACTACATCAAACTAATAAGCTTCTGTACCACTAAAGAGACATCAACCAAAACAAAGAGATACTCCACTGATTGGGAGAACATTTTTGCAAATAATACTACTGATAAGGGACTGGTCACAAGTTCTTTCTTTATCCATTCATCCTTCTGTGGACACTTACGTTGTCTATCTCATGTCTTAGCCGTTGAAAGTGGTGCTGCTATGAACACGGAGATACAGATGTCTTTGTGAATTAGTGTTTTCATTTCCCATGGATATATTACCAGAAATTGAATTGCTGGATCCATAAAAGAAAACCAAAAAGAAAAAAAACATATGTGGATCCTCCATACTGTTTTCCAAAGTGACTGCACCAATTTACTTCCCCACCAAGAGTGTATAAATTCCCTTTTCTTCACATCCTGTCAAGACTTGCTATTTCTTGACTTTCTGACCATAGCCATTCTAGCAGATATGAACACTATCCTACTATGATATTAATTTCCTTTTTTCCAATGATGAGTGATGTTGAATATCTTTTCAGATATCTTTTATAAATATTATTTTCTAGAAAAATATCTATTCAGATCTTTTGCTCATTAAAAAGTGGGTTACTTCTGGTTTTATTATTTATTTTACTATTAAATTGAGTTCTTTTTCTGTTTTGACTTTATTCCCGTATCAGATACATAGTTTGCAATTATATTTTCCCATTTTGTAGGTTGTCTTTTTATATTATTTATGTTTACTTTTGCCATACAGAAAATGTTTTAATTGTTAATCCAATCTGTGTTAATTTTTGTGAGTGATGTAAGAAAAGTATCTAGTTTCATTCTTTACATATGACTATCCTATTTTCCTAACACCATTTAGTAAAAAGACTATTCTTTCTCCATTGAGTATTCTTGGCAACCTGGCCAAATCTTAATTGGCCATATATACTTGGGTTTGTTTCTGAACTCTTGATTTTGTTCCAGTGATATATTGGATTTATGCCATTACCATACTGTTTTGATGACTATATCTTTATGTATTGTATAATCAGGCAGTGTTATAGCTCCTGTTTTGTTCTTTCTCAGACATTCTTTGGTTATTGGGCCTGCCTGGTGGCTTAGGGGTTAAGCCTCAGTTTTATCACACTATCACCACTGCAGCCTGAGTTCGATCCCTGGGCAAGGAGATAACCCACATATGGTGCAGCAGACCTCTCCTGTCTCACCCACTGCTCCCCTTGGCAGTGCATTTCAGTAGATCTTCCTGTTCTGCTCCGTATTCTGTGTCTGGTGAATCCTCTCACCTCTATGCACCCTCCCCTCATACCTCTGGCCTACATACCAGTTTTCCATAAATTAATAAAAATAAAAAATAATAAAAGAAAGTCTTTGGCTCTTCAAACCTAGTGTGGTTCCATACAAATTTTAGTAGTCTAACTGGATCTTGAAAACTTCCAGGGCTTCTACAATTTTCCCTGGCATGAAAAGTGTCACAATGGGAAGGGCAGGAAAAGAGATAGTGGTATTGAGAAGTTGCAGTTAAATAATGTATTTTAGTCTGTTCTAATTAAATTATCTTTGTTTTGCAAAGATTGGTGGCTTTATAATATATGGAATTAGGCTGAATTATATTCCCTGGAATTTTCCTTCCTATGTATTTCTACTTAGAATTACCATAAGAAGGATACTCATGGGGGTTTGAAAGGTAGAAGGGATTCAACAGCCATTATATATATTTGCATTCACTTTGCTGACATTGATGTCTCCCCTCAATGGCTGTGGCTGGACTTGCAAGATTTCATGTTCCTCTAGATCCTGTTTAATCTGACCTTGGACCAGGTGTGTGTATTTAGGTCAATGATGAAGGTTCCCAGATTTTGCAGGATACTCACACCACTATCAGAAACAACAAGAAAGATCAAGGTTTCAGTACATCTTCCTGGGCTCCAACACATGCTGAAGGTTTCTAGCTTGTCCTGCTCCCCCACCTCATATCCATCTTCCCTTCATGTTCTAGTATCTAATGTAAAGATCTCTTTCAAGCTCCCAGAGGTTCACTTCACAGATGCCCCCCAACACATCTCTATGTCTCCTGATGGTCTACTCTTATTATCAATTACTGATGACAATGTTTCTAGAAACACAGGGCTACATAAACTCATTGTTAAGGACAGCATTTTGGGGCTGAATCTTCAAACTCACCTCTACCCCAGAGATTTGTGTCTCAGGTTCCTCTTTTGTGGTCATATTGTTTTATGATGATGATTATTCAGTGAACACTGTGATGATGAGAAGGAACTTGTAAGCATCAATAGCAGGAACATTTACAATGTGTTTCGCGTTTAATCTGGTTGGAATGGACACCCCGTGTTGCATCAACATGAAAGGCCCTGGGTCAGAAAATTAAATACCCTTTCACTAATTGTAAGTAGCTCAGGGAAGTTTTCTTAATCTCTTCCTGTCAAGTGTCATGTGGACTGCACATTATGAGACCACATTTCTCATTGTAAAGTGTTTTTTTCACAGCTTAAAAAAAATAGGCATTCACCAATTCATACAAGAAGACACATTATTTGTGGTGTACAAATGCAAAATATTTTTTAAAGATTTATTTATGCATACAAGAGCTGGGGTAAAGGCCCAAAGGTGTGGGGGTGAGAGGATTCACCAGAGACAGAGTGCAGAGCAGAACAGGCAGACTGACTGAAACACACTGCTGAGGGGAGCAGCAGGCAAGTCAGGAGAGGTCTGCTGCACCAGGTGGGTTGCTCCCTAGCTGGCCAGGGAGCAAACTTGTGCTGCAGAGGCTGTGGATTGTTTCATAGTGCAGTGCTTAACCCCTCGCGCCACCAGGGATGCCCCAAATGCAGAATATTAATTTATTTTACTTCATGGCCTCTGCACAGAGGATTCTGGAATCATTAACTATGATGGTAAAATATAGACAAATAAATACTGTGTAATTGTTTCCAAGCATGCCTTCAAGGAACTTTCACTAGGACTGCCCTTATTACTCTGTCTATTTGAGACCAGTTTTAGAAACTTATGACCACAATATAAATGTTTTATGAGTTTTTGTTTGCTTTCAGCATTTAGAGGAGAGAGAAAGAAGTAAAAACTCATGTCATATTCCTAGTTTTACCCCTTGCCAGCCTGGATGGCTTTGGGCAAAGTGCTTACAATGCACGAACTCACTTGCATTATTCATAAATAGAAATGTTAATTACCAGACTTGACACTCAGACATATCTAATGAAAAGCTAATGTTTAAGGAACATGTATATTAGCATCAATAGGTTAAGTTGATAAACCCAAAGTCTCAGTAGTTTAAAATATATGTATATATAGTTGAATATATATTTGACTCCCATCACATACTGCAGTATTACTCATCTAGGCAGTTGTGTGGGGACTCAGACTAGTTCTACCTCTTAGCTTTACCTCTTTCTTGGTCCTTGGCAACCTCTTATTCAACTAGTAGAAGCAAAAGAAAATGTCACTTACATATAGGCAGTTTATTAGCATCAAATGGAAATGGTGCACATTCTCTACCCCATTTCTGGTGGAGCAACACTAAACTACTCTGTGCTACCTCTGACTCTTCCAATGCACAGTTCCCTCTGCCAAGAAGGCTACAGGATTGATTGTCAGTCTAGGGAAGCTCTACTTAGCTCTTCAGACCTCAGTTCAAATGTCATCAAACTATTGCCTAGTTACTCAAACTAGGTCAATTCTTTTTGTCAAATATAAAGGGGCCTTTGTACATTTCCTGTTCACAAACCATGTCATATTATATGGTAAAGGGGATGTGTCCGTGTATTTATTATTGTAGGGTAAGGTAAAATATCAGACTTTTCTGCCCTCCCGCCATCAGGGTAGATGAGGGAACCCTGTGATCCTGAATGCATGCCTGATGGCGGGCACCTGGAGTGGGTACACCTGTGCTAAGACTGTGCTTTTAAGGGTGGCGTCACGGGGACACCAGGAGAAGCCAAAGCACAAGCCAAAAGAGAAGCCGAGAAGCAGCAGAACGAACACCAGAGAGCCCAGACAGAGTGAATACTTGCTGGGGGCTGGGAGGCCTGACAGCCTCCAAACCCCCAGCCAGCACCCCTGCCTGCCATATGCCTGGTGAACCCCAATAAAAGACCTGCAAAAACCACTGAGGACTCTGACTGCTCCTTTACCCGGTCTACATGGGATCCTAGAAAACCTGCACCTTGTCCAGTCCTGCCTTACAATTGGTGTAAGTCGGCAGGATGATCCATGCAGACAGGTATGGAGCTCTCCGAAGACCTGGAGGGACTAAGGAGTAAAAGACTGCCTGTGATGACGCTGGAGGTGTCATGGCGACCCAGGAGATGGACAAGGATCAGGATCTATAGGACAAGACCATGCCTGGAGGAGGAGATGCCCGAGAGGACCAGCCAACGACACCTGAGGCAGCAGAATTGTCGGGGAGGAGAGGACCACAATTTGGAGCTCGCCAGCGCTGATTCAGGGAGAGGCCAAGAGACTTGGACTGATGGACTGACAATTGAACTTGTACTGACAATCCCGCCAGAAGGCAGAGGACCTTGCAGGTTGATATGTTTTGGGACCCTGGGGGTGGAACAGCTTTGTTTGTAAACCCCAGGAGATGGGAATCTGGGGGTGGCCAGTGGGCCTAGATGGCCAAAAGCAGCCTGTGTATGCCCAGCAGCCAGGCGGAGGAGAAAAGCCAACTGAGAAGGCAAAATCTGGTGCTGATGCTAAGTTGAGAAGCCCTGAGTGGCTGTTAAGCAGCCTGAGTATGCTGAAGACCTGTGAGTCTCGTAAAATCACCTGTGGGTGATGCCCTGCTCATTGTCGAGTGAGGGTGAGGAGCTGAGGAACCCGTCCTTGGGGGATGGGTGGGGAACGTGGCTTGGGGTGGAGCCCAAGCTGCATATAGAGTTTGGATCCCCGACCCATGTGCTTGTGCAGTGGGTTGGCCTGAGTGCAGGGGTCTGCGAGTTGCATTGGTGGCTATGAAGGCCGAGTGTTGGAGCGACTGCAGACAGAAACCCTGAGGGTTGGCGATTACCCCCAACAGAATAAAATTGCCAATCCCAGAGCAAGTGCATCCTGGGGGTGGATGCTGTGTGTGACTTGTAGCCGAAACTACAGCCAGAGAAGGCCAGGAAGCCTGACGGCTCCTGGTGTGTTACAGTAGATGCCGTGAATGGTTCCCCTCCCTCGTATGAGCAGTGCCTTCGGCAGCAGATTTGGTGGCTCATTTGCTGGTGCCAATAATTGTCTTTTGCACTAGGTTGGGGCCCTGCCTGGACTTAATTGCGTTCTGTTGTATTTTGTTATATTGTGATGTATTTGCTTTTGTGGGCCATGGCTGCATTGTTTGTGTTTGCTAAGAAACAAAGTTGTGCATGTGTGGATTATATGGCAGAAAACCCTGAGGGGGTGAACTGTAGGGTTAGGTAAAATATCAGGATTTTCTGCCCTCCCTCCATCAGGATAGATGAGGGAACCTGTGATCCTGAATGCATGCCTGATGGCGGGCACCTGGAGTGGGTACACTTGGGCTAAGACTGTGCTTTTAAGGGCGGCGTCATGGGCACGCCAGGAGAAGCCGAAGCAGAAGCCAAAAGAGAAGCCGAGAAGCAGCAGAACGAACACCAGAGAGCCCAGATAGAGTGGACTTGCCTGACAGCCTCCCAGCCAGCACCCCTGCCTGCCATATGCCTGGTGAACCCCAATAAAAGACCTGCAAAAACCACTGAGGACTCTGACTGCTCTTTTACCTGGTCTGCATGGGATCAGAAAACCTGCACCTTGTTCAGTCCTGCCTTACAATTATTCTCTTGGAGAACAGAATTATTTTTATTTCCTGAACTTCCCTAAAAATCAGTATAGTAGCTTATAGTTCCAGGATAGTAATTGCAGAGTGCTAGTGCTATTCAGAATACACAACAAATGGTGCAGAAAGAACACTTACCAATCACAGAGAAGCTCATCTGGGAAGGATGCTTGCTGGATATCAATCCTGAATACAGCTAGAACCTGTGTACCAGCTGCATCTACTCTGGGCTTGATTGTTCTCAATCAACACTTGATGCACAGCCGTGGAGGAAGATTTTGATGGAGCTGGAGGGGAGGAGGAACAGAAACTGTTGTTGAGCACTTACTGTGTATTTGTGAATTCATTACCATAGGCCCGCCCTTAGGTACAGTATTACTTTCCAGGGTTTCAGGTACTTGGGGGCCACCTTGATCTGAAAATTATATCTACAATGAAATATTTTGAGAGCTAGACAAAGAGGTATAACTATTTTTAAAAGTTACTTATTGTAGGGTAAGGTAAAAAGTATCAGGCTTTTCTGCCCTTCCGCCATTAGGATAGATGACGGAACCCTGCGGTCCTGAATGCATGCCTGATGGCGGGCACCTGGAGTAGGGTGTGGGCCTAGGTAGATGGGATTCACCTGGGCTAAGACTAGGCTTTTAGGGGCGGTGTCGCAGGGATGCCAGCAGAAGCCCAGAGAGAAGCAGAATGAATGGAAGAACAGAGAGCAGAGAAGGCCGGAGAGCCCAGATAGAGTAAAGGCTTGCTGGGGCCTGGGAGGCCTGCCAGCCTCCCGGCCCCCCGGCACCCCTGCCTGCAGTATACCTGGTAAATCCCAATAAAAGCCTGCAAAAGCCACTGAGGGCTCCAGGACTCCTTTACCCGCTCTGCTGGATTAGAAAACCTGCACTGTGTCTTCTTGCCCCTACACTTATTATAAATGAAAGTTACAAATAACGTTTTACAGTACATGGTTATTTTTTTTTTTTTAAAGACAAAGCAGGGAACAGAACAGGCAAACTGACTGAAATACACTGCTGAGGGGAGCAGCGGGCGAGACAGGAGAGGTCTGCTGCGCCATGTGGGTCACCTCCCTGACTGCGGATCCAACTCATGCTACAGAGGCTGCGGATAGCTACATAGTGCTTAACCCCTTGCACCACCAGGGAGGGTCCCTGCATGATTATGGTTTTTAAGTTGATTATTCATTGTAGTTACTACTCTTTCACTATGGCTAATTTATAAATTAACCTTTTTCATGGGCATGTGCATATAGGAAAAAAACAATAGAGGTTTTGGAACTACCTGTGGTTTCAGGCACCCACTCGGGTTTTGGGAACCTTCCCACTACAGAACTTCTGAAGGTCTATTAGCACTTGTTTATGCTTTAAGAATGCTCAAACTCAGAACAATAGTGAGGCTGGGCTTAAAAATATCATAAACAGCAAAACTAGAATTTTCAATCAATACTCCTTGGTTGAAAAACTTCTCCCTGTTTTCGCTGTGCTCTGTGAACTCTACTTTCAAGGAAATTGTTGCTTAGTTGTGAAGTCAAGGTTTGCCCCCAGGAATCAAGAGGGGAATTTCTCCAAATTCTGCTAGAACCTACTCCCGGTAGAGGACCCAACTAGGAACAGGCAGATTAGAAATGAGACCTGGAATCGGGACGTGGGGGAATTGTGCCTGCACAAAGAGCTTAGAAATCCACATTCGGGAACTCTAGTGACCAGATGGTGATTTGAATACCAAAGCGAAGGTCATGAGTGAGCTTTGCTCCCTGATTATTGTTCAGCTATGTGAATCACGGAGCAGTTTGTAGTCCAGTCTGTTCACACATCCAAGCCTTCTGCATTAGTGGGGTTTTGTGCCTTGTGAGATGGCAGGAATCGCAGGCTGCGAGCACAAGGGTGCACTGCCGCCAAGTCTGAAGCAGACACTGACCTGTCACAGGCTTATGAGTTCACTTCCTTGGGCTTTGGGTTTGGCTGGATTCTTTTCTTTGTTTTTTGTTTATGTATGAATGGAAGGGAGAATAGCACCCTCACCTTCAGTCATGGGTTCAGGTGTGAAGACCCAAGCAAAAGACCAAATAACATTCTAAGTGCTTTTCTGGAGTGAAGTGTCAGAATAACCTGAAGGTTGGTTATGAGTAAAGCTAGAAAATTACTAGGTGGATATATCCTTCCAGGAACCTTGGGAGGGATTTCCAAGGTCAGGGGCAGCCTTGTTGGGAAAGCTAACTACTGGAAGCACTGGGAAATTTGTTCATGGTTGCTAGAGACATTGATGTTTTCATAAATCTTGGAATATCCTATCTGCTTTCCCATACTAGGTGTATCTGAATAAGTTGCAAGAACCTCTCTCTGTGAAGGGGAGACAGTGCAGAACAGACATGTTTGGGATTGGGTACCAGTTCCTGCTTAAGGTGGTGCCTGAGCTCCCTAAGTAAGGACTCTGTTCTGAACCCTATTAAAACTGAAACTGCAAGTTACTACATGGGGTCAAGAATCCTCTGTATGATGTCTCCAGGGTTGTAGCTGACACACAGTAGGAATAGTGTAGAATAAGATAGTGATTAAAGATTACAGTGATCCATTGTAGATCAATGTAATCTAGTGATCTGTCCTGTAGCCATCTCCTTGGGTTGGATACATTTCTCCTCCACTGGTATTTTTCACTTGTGTCTGGTGGCCTGGCTTCATACTGAATTTTCATGTAGCTGGAAATGGATTTTTTAAAATATATTTTACATCATTGTTCATATTTGTATGTATGCTTTCTCCTCTCAGGTGTATTTCCAGTAAAATTCCCACCCCCAATTCACCTGTGCACAATCACCATAGTCCCTCGGGCTCTTCCTCACCAGTTTTCTTCTGCCTCCCCCTCCCTTCTCTGATTTATAGTTGCCTGTAATTTTGCGTTTTAATTTATTATTATTGTTCCCCCCCCATCCCTTATTTGGTTCCCCTATATGCCGCCTATAAATGAAACCTTCCAATGTTTTTCTTTTTCCTTTGGGCTTATTTCACTGGTCATAATCTCGTCCAGCTCCATCTATGTTGCTGATAATGGCATGTGTTTATCTTTTTGAATGCTGAGTAATATTACATGGTGTATATGGACCACATCTTCTTGATCCAGTCATCTATTTTTGGGCATTTGGGTTGTTTCCATAGTTTGCCTATTGTAAATAGTGCTGCTATAAACATAGGGGTGCAAGTATTCTTTTGAATTAATGTTTTTATGTTCCTTTGGGTAGATCCCTAGAAGTGGAATTGTTGGGTCATATAGAAGCCCCATTTTTAGTAGTTTGAGGCACATCCACACAGCTTTCCATAGTGGTTGGACCAGTTTTCATTCTCACTAGCAGTGTAGGAGTGTTACTTTTTCTCTCCACATCTTCGCCAACATTTGTTCTTGCCTGTTTTTGTTTTTTGTTTTTTGTTTTTTTTTAATACATGGGCCTCCCTCGTGGTGTGAGGGGCTGAGACGCTGCCTATGAGTCGTTCCCAAGCCACCACAGCATGAGTTTGATCCCTGGCTAGGGAGCTGCCCACATGGTGCAGCAGACCTCTCCTGGCTCTCCCGCTGCTCCCCTCAGCAGTGTATTTCAGTAGATCCGCCTATTCTGTTCCCCACTCTGTCTCTGGTGAATCCTCTCACCCCCCACACCTCTGGCCTGTACCCCCGTTCTTGTATGCATAAATAAATAAATCTTTAAAAAATGTAAAAAAATACATGTCATTCTCACTGTTGTAAGGTGGTGTCTTTTTGTGATTTTGATTTGCATTTCCTTGATTATAAATTATGTTGAACATTTTTTCATATATCTGTTGGCCTTTTGCAAGAAATGGATATTTAGAATAGAATGACAGTTACGTTTAAGGCTTATATTACCCATATATTCAATCAGTTTATAAACCATTTTCCCCAAAGAAAGAAATGCTGCTTTTTAGTTCTCTTTAATTGATGTTTAGCTAATTCTTCCCACATGATATACACAGACATAAGACATAAATGATAAGCAATAGAGTACATTTTTCCCCTAATATGAATGTGCATAAACGTGTGCCTGTGTCATGCCTAGGATTTTGAAAAACCCTACAATTGTGTGTCCCTGACTTGGGTATTGATTCTTCCTCGGGGACTTGCAATTAACTTCTCCCTGCTTTCCTCCCCTCAGTTTATCTAGTTCTGGTCTAGCTTTCAGAGATGAGTCTAGAAGGCTACATCTGCTGAAGACATGTGTGGGTCTCATGGTTCCCACAGAGGTTATCCTAACATGTTCATTCATAAGTTTCTCAACTCATCAATAGTCATTCGTCAAATACCTGCTGTGAACCAGGCTAATCTGAGAATGCAGAGATATTGAAGATCCAGATTAAAAAATATCATCATAGGGCCTCCCTAGTGGTGCAAGGGGTTAAGCACCGCACTATGAAGCAATCCACAGCCTCTGCAGCACAAGTTCGATCCCCGGCCGAACAGGGAGCAACCCACATGGTGAAGCAGTCCTCTCCTGACTCACCCACTGCTCCCCTCAGCAGTGTATTTCAGTGGATATGCCTGTTCTGTTCCCCACTCTGTCTCTGGTGAATCCTCTCACCCTCCCTCATCTCTGGCCTGTACCCAGCTCTTGTGTGCATAAATAAATAAAAATTAAAAAAAAAAAACAACCAAAAATATCATCATATAAATGGAGTCTGTAACTCAACCTCAACTATGTCAAAATTAAAAAGTAGGGGACAGTATCTTATTAATTGACAAATCGCAAGCACTAACAAGTGGCTGGGATATGGTATATATTTGTTAAATTCCCTAAAGAATTATGAAAATATACTTAAACATTTTTTGTTTCAATTGTTTGGGATTTATAAATGAAAATACTTGGATAGCTCACATTTATGGAATAACTGCTGTGAGGAAACACTAGCAGTTGATTTCTATACATCATCTTGTGTAATTCTCATATGAAACTTTCAAGGAAAGTAAGTAAAAGAGATAAAAAATAAACTTGCAAACATTTCTGTAAAGCAGTGATTGAATTCAGAGCTATGAACCTCCAAAGACTTTCTAGAAAGAAATTAAATGGTAGAATTAGGACATTATTAACCAAGAGTAGGCTAATTTAATGATAGTTATTAATTGCTTTTGATTCACACAGATACAGAGTGAATATGACTCCTAAAAAGTTGCACAATATTTTCAGGCAAAACAAAAAGGGAGACAAAAAAAAAGTATAAAGACAGACAGCATACTGGGAAAAAGTTGAAATCATTATTTAGACGAGGAACATGGCAGT